AAAAAACCGGTAGCACATATTTTCATATATGCCTTGAAAAAGAAAAAATACTTACAGGTAGCTCTGGCATGCTATTAGCGTGCACTGTACCCTGTTCCAGGCCTTTAGCACCAACTTTTTCTTCTTTGGCTGGGTAATCGTCTTTCTTGTCGCCATCGTAGCTTAGCCTATCCGCCCAATCATCCAGACTTAGGTCTGCTAAGTGCAACGGTTCTCTGCTCCTGTCCCTCGCGCTGAGCAACTTTTCCAGATCGGGAGAATGATGCGTCGAGTTGCCTCGCTCAGAAAGCAGCCTGAAGCAAATGAAGTTTTTGTAAAATATTACCAGAACACTTCTATCTATCTATCTGTTCAGTACCTGTCTAGGTTTCGCTCCAACAGAACCCTATCGAGGCTCTTCTCCGTCCCTCCAATTCGATCTTCAACCTCCCTACTGGTGGCTTCTCGGGCCTCAAACTCCTTGTCGCCGCTTTCCGAAGGTGTGGGAGTGCTAGCCAAAGAGCCTCCAGGTTTAGGGCTGCGCTGTAGGGCTCGCCGCCCCATTTTCGGCGATCTGATCGGTGACGGCGTGTGGCTGAGACTTTGCAGGGAAGCAGGTACGTGACTTTGACTAACACTGCTCAATGAATACTGAGCGGGGTGGTTCTGAGGGGAGCACATCGAACCAATGGGGCTGGATGGCGTGCTGGTGATCGGGGAACGCTGGGGGTGTGCTGGGTAGGTGGAGGGCGAACCTGGAGGCGAGCTGGTTTCACTGGGGGAAGCGGCTCTGTCGTTTTGATGGGACCCTGAGGGATTGTTACCGCGTTGCTTAACGTGGCGGGGGAGCCTGGAAAGGAGGAATTGTTTAAGCATTTTCGGGACATGTTGCAGATTTTTGATCCACTCACCGAGTGCCGGGGCCGCTGCTATCCGACGGTGTGGGCGGTTCTCCTTTGCTGCAGGCAATTGAACAGTAGATGGCTCCTCTACGGGGCAAGAATGGCCTTCCCAGCAATGAGGTGCGGCAAGTGTGGCAACAGAAACAGCTCTCAGTGGCGTGCCAGTGTTGGCCTTCATGACTCATCTGCCCCTTAAATAATGACGATAATATTGATTCGTTTAAGATCTATTTTTTGTTGAATCAAATAAAGTGAACAAATTGTTAAAGAAGCATAATTGAGTAACCTACCTGGTCAACCCCGATTGGTTCTCCACAGCTATCGCAATATTCCGCAAACATGGCATCGAAACAGTGTAAACAATAGGGACGTCCATCTCTCATTATGTATCTTTGACCTCCTAGTTGCCTTTCGCATTCCGAACACGCAAAATGCTTCATATGCCATGCCCGTCCTTCTGCTTCGGTGCATTCATCGGCAAGTATTATCTGGAAATTCAGAAAATACAATTTTTGCCACTAGTTGAGAATCGAAATTTTGCCACTGTTTATTGGAATGAATGGTTACTTCATCGAATTTTGCTCTCGAGCTGTATATAATTGTAAACAACCAAAAAGACCTATTTTCCAAAAAGTAAATATATTTCAGGGGTGATTCAAAATTGGCGCCGTTCCTCTGGAGGTGCTGTCCGGAGGGCACAATAAACAGAAGAGTGTTTACTTATTAACATTGCGTAAATTACGCAGATCATTTTACTGATATGGATAGTTTCAAAATTTAGTTTTTCAGATGAGTTATTATGCTTCTCTTATAAAACATCAGTTTTCATTGCATACCGGAATATTAGAATATCAATAAACTCAAGTCGCAGTTTGGCTTTAAATGAAGGTTTTCGGGGGAAAAAAGTTGCGTGACATTTTCATATCTAGAAAAATTTACGCAAAATATATATACATTTTTTGTCATGTTGCGTCTTAGGGCTTGTTTCCACCAAAATAAAAAACCCTAGTATCTCCTTAAAAATATTGTAACCAACATTGCCACTTTGTACCAGCAAATTCCTCCCAAAGGATGAAAAGTCAACTGATATAAAACTGTACATTCTTAACGGATCGCATATCAATAACCGATGCGTTAACTTTACGGTTACTTGCGCCTTTTCGAAATATATTATTTTCTGCACGCTCTACTGCAAAAAAGTGACTTTGCCTGCATAACTCGAAGAAATAAGATGCTCATCAGTAGCCCCTTGCCTATAATCAAGGCAATAAATTTACAAGCGATACGTATTTTATTTTTGCATAATTACTTTAAGCTTTTTAGACCAAGTGCAGACATTAAGGATGCAATGATTGGGCAGTTTTAACTTCATTTAAGTGAGGAAAGGTTGTCGGCCATTTGTCCGGCACTGGATGGCAAAATGTGGAGATGATTGAAATGAAAAGTCACATTTCGGGTGGCAAATTTCCGTTTATGGAACTATTTTTAAACATTTCCGTTCGTTATAATATTGGAGCTGTTCCGACAAAATTGTTGCATCGCGTTACGAATATTTAGCAATTTTCTTGCCCTCGCTTTATCTAAATGTGCTTATTTTAACAATATCAGATAAAGACCAATATATGCAGGGGCGTAAAATTCAGTCTTTTGTTGTCTATGAAATTAGAAAAATTATCGTTAGTCGACATAAACCCAACACATGGGAGTCTTCATGACGTTGGTATCGTTGGATAGAGAATTGAAAATTCGTTTATCATAACAACATGATTGAGGAAATTCGAAGAGTTTTGACCCCAAGAAGGGGCCATTTGAATATCAGACATTTAGGTGCAAAATTAGGCCAACATTTTATGTTTTTCGTCCCGTTTTTGCTCATTTCTCGGAAGCAAAATTCGCAAGAACCCCCATTGTTACATCATTTCTGAGAGAACTAAATGGCCTTTTTAGAAACTGAACCATCGATACGGAAATGTTGGCAATTTTCTCTACAAAGTCTTGATTTCAAGAAGTTTTAGATTTGCTCGTTTTTTTTTGCAAAATCGTTTTCGAAAAGTTCCAAAATCGAAAAAAGTTTCTCAAGAATTATTCGAGCCACATAATTGGTTTTGGAGTGAGGAAATTCGAGTAGTTTTGATCCAGAAAACGAAATTTGAATATCAGACACTTAGAAAGACGTTTTCTCAGAAACGTATTGATTTCAAGAAGTTTTAGGCCAAATTTTCATGCTTTTTGTCCCGTTTTTGCTCATTTCTCGGATAAGCAAAATAAGCAAGAACGCTCATTGTTACATCATTCCAGCGAGAACTAAATGGCTTTTTTACTAAGTCCATCCAAGTACCATCGATAGGAAAATGTTGGCAGTTTTCTCACAAAAGTCTTGGTTTCAAGAAGTTTTAGATTTGCGCGTTTTTTTTTTGAAAAATCGACTCAAACATGCCGCTGCTTTTTTCGAAGTTTCTCACGAACCATTTGAGCCATAGGGGTCAGAGAATCGGGTTGATTCAGTCATAACAACATTAGCGAGGAAATTCTAGTAGTTTTACTCAGAAAGCGAAACTCAATATGATATTTTGGTTGCGCCTCCAACGAACGTTCATATACCAACATTTACATCGACATCAGTACAATAATCAATCACAAAATGCTTTAGATTCATGGTAAAGTATCTCCTGTTGATGATTATTTTAATGTCATCAAGCTTGTGTACCAAAGAGTAAAACCATCTAACAGGCCGCATTAAAACTATAGGCTTGGATAACGTTTCCCATTGGAATCATTCTTGTGCAATGGAAAAGTTTCTTTCTTTAGCTATTAATTAAATTGCTCCGCAGATGTGATAGTGTGACCGCTAATGTTTCCAACTATTTGCGTATTATTTGGGTCGATGTTGTGTTTCTTGGTTCCTTCATAGCTGTAGCAAGTCCACTTAACATGCTGTTGTAAGAGTGTTTTTCTTTGTTTCGCGGTGTGAGGAAAAACGAGTTGCGCTTTGGAATAAAACATCAGATCAGTAGAGAAGTCCCTGTTGAAACATTGAGTAGGCAAACCACGGTTTTAGGTGATCAACCCAACAAAAGCTCAAACACCATTCAGCTCACCGATTTGGGCGTTGATCGGTACTTTTGAATAGAAGAAAAGTTAATTTTACCTCATCGCAAGCACTACATCTGGGCTTGACGGTTTCCGCATGATGCCTTCCACAATACAGTCGTCCTTCTTTGAAGAAGTAGATTAGATCCACCAGCAGTTCCCTGCAAACGCAGCAGGTGAAGCAGGCTGGATGCCAAACCATGTTGGGCCCTGCTCTGGATGCCAGCACTCCAATATCCCCCGATGAGAGGGATTCCGAGCACTGCAACAAGAGATAATCCATATTGAAATCGAAAAATTAACCGGGAATTTTAATGCATTCCAAAGAAGTAGAAATTTGTCCTTTGTTCGTTCACCGTAAATAACATACGTTATTTCTATTAAATACCTCGGTAAATCTGAGGGTCGTATTTCTCACCATTTAGGGTGAAGATATACGGCTCTAATAAATCTGTCGGGGCCAAATGGCGCGGAAGGGATGATTTCGTCCAGTTTTGGATTTTATCGGCGACCGAACTTTAATGAAATACTACTGGCGTTCTATCAAAACTTTCGGAGTTATTGCCAATATTGGACAATGGAACTAAGACATCCACTAGATGGATTTCTCGCAATTACAATAGGGGTTTATATGGTCAAACGGTTGACATATTTATTATTAAATGAATTAGACGAATAGAAAGGATTGTTTATCCCTGCTGAACAAATCCTTTGAAGCGAAGTTTCATAAGATTTAGAGGAAAACTGGTTTTGACTTTGTGCGGTTTTGTTTAATTAAATAAATTGGCTCTACCTCTAGTCATATGAAAAGTGCGTAAGTCCACTTTTTTCAAGGAAACTTATATTCTGGGGCCATCAATACCTACAATTTGGTGTAAACAAATTCAGAAATGACAAAAGCTTAAGTCTAAACAAAGTGTTTAGTTTTTTGGATAGTTTTTCCTTTAAACGGCGCTATTTTTATAAAATATACAGCAAAACATGCCAGACATTTCAGGTAAGCACCGAAATAATAATAGCATGCATATATTTAATGATCCAACTTGCTTTACTATTTATTTTTAATTCGAAATCAAAATTAATTTTGTATGTATGCCAAAAGATGTATGCCAAGGCTTAAAGTAGCAACAACGCTACACATAAAAACTGACGATGGTGGAAAAATACACCGAAACGTATTTTAATTGATAAATAGAGACAATAAATGACTGAAACCCAGGAATTAATTTTAATTTGGAATTGAAACACAGTCAGGAAAGTATGTACAATTTATTTTTAATAAAACCCAGAAAGTCGGAGAATTTTAGAATGATTCGTAGTTCAAGCAGCTTTAAAATTTGCATGGAAAGGCAAACGACGAATAATGATGCTGAACTAAACTTTATAATAGATAGCTCAGAAAAAATTATGAAAATGTTGCTTTAAACGATTAATTGAAACATGATAACTGTAGCAGCAAAAACTTTAAAACATTACCTGTAAGATTAAGCAAAAATACAAACCTTACAAACATGGACAATTTTCCCAGTCTATTTAAGAATAAGTTGAAAATGAAACAAGAAAACTTTGACCAGGAAAAAGATAGCGATGCCATAACATAAATATCAATTAATATTATCAGACTGAGTGACGATAGAGTTTTCTAAGAACCGATTTTTTTTTTGGTGTCGCTAACAGCAATTTTAGTAAGAGCTTCATTTAAGCTAATTTAATTAAGCAATATTTAAGCACAATAACTCAGAGAGGCAAACATATTTTTAGTTTTAAACTGTTCAGCCTGCAGATTCTTTGGATCTAAAACTGTGGAAAATATTCCAGGATTATTTGAACCAGAAAGTTTACCAGCTCTTTGGTTATGCTTGTAAATGTGTTAAGATAATTAAGAAATTTTGCACGGAAAAGTTGCTATACGAATTCCAGTATACGATGTTAACGATTTATGCGAAAAAATCTCTTAATATTTTAATTTGTCTATTTTCGAAATAAATCATTCTTAAGCATTCATTACGTATTTAAATTGCGCAATTGTTAAGCAGAATAATAAGGAACGGAAATATCGCGGTGTGTTTTATTGAAGATACCAGGGAAATTAAGGAAAAACGCGTATAGTTCCTACCAGGGAATAGTATTTAATTCAATTATAAGCTTTACCTTTGCGAAATTCATAAATAAAAGAACAATATTCGAAAGCATTCCCTGGTGGTGAGAAAACGCTCTGCCAAGAGAACGAATGGCCATTTCATTTTTTATGAATCCCACGGGTGGGCTTTGGGAAGTTAATTAGAAAAATGTAAATTAAGCCGGCTTAATGCTCTAAATTACTCGTCTTAAATTAAGGAATTTCTTCTGAGGCTCAATTTAATTCAAATGTCTTAAAGAACATCGTTAGACATTTCAACAATAACTCACGACTTAAAAAGCTGCCTTCACTTATGTCTTAATATATCCTTAATAAATCTTCTGACGCCCGATTTTCGCACTTTATAAAAGCTTTTTGGACGCTTCAAACAGGGGGGAGTTTCCACTTTTAATACGGGCAACACATAACTTTGACTTGGGGCCCTCCAAATGCTTTTCATGTGTTACAGGACGGGCACGTGACTTGAAAAAATGCGTCCTTACAAACTTGTCCCTAACTCTAAGTGCTACTCGATTTGGAACCGGGTTGTCTTGATATTTTTATTAATAGAATTTGACGGTATTGATACCGATACGACTTTTCCGAAATTGATATAAATTCCCTTATAAATATATTTAGCTTGTCAATCGAACTTTCGCTAACTTTGATTTTCCGCTACGTAGTTTTAGATTTAAATGATGGCGAGTACGTTTGATCGAGAGATTGTCCATTTTCATTTTCTTTCGAAATTTTTTATTCAGTTGCTTTGCTGATATTTTAACATAAAATTATATTTATAATTTAATAATACCTACAGCCCAATTAAGAAATCATTTAAATTGATATACAATATTTCCCATTTACGTTTAGTTATTACATATTTACAGTTAGTTGAGTTAATCGTTTATGCATGAAGCTCTAAAATTAAATATTTACATTTTAAAAACAACTATTGCAATTTTTTACATGAAAGTACCAACGTGTGTCGCTTTCGTTACATGTTTGTTTGGATAAAAAATGCATTATTCCTTTCTTTCCTTGAAAGATTTCCTTTAAAGTGGAGAATTTTTAATATGGACCAAAATAGTCATATAGAGCCGTATTCAAAATTACATTTGCTTTTATGTATTTTGATGAATACATAAATTATTTTCTTCCAATCAGTATAATGACCAAAGTAAATATTAATTTACTAGTTTACTAGACTTCAAGACAACTTATCTGGACTAAACCAAAGGAAATAAAATAAATGAGGTCAGATGAAGGAAAAAATAAATTTTGAACCGTTAATGAAAATTTTTATTCAAACCATGATTTGGTCATTCGGAATCAGTTTAATTTGCCAATCATTGTCCCTCCGCCGCTGATCTATTAAACCCCAAAGACCGCGCAATTAGTGAGTTTCAAATTAAGAGGCGTCAATTAAGAGTTAGAGTCCGAGATGGAGGAGTTTAGAGGGTTCGCCAACTGTAGAGAAACTTTTAATTTAAGGGCAGAAAGTTGTTCGTAAGAAATGGGGAATTGGATTAACCGTTTTTCCGGTAMTTTAATTTTTTGATGAATTAAAAACAGSCTAATTGRAATATGCGATACGAATAATTTTTCAATGAATGTGATTAGAYGTGAYTTTAAGTAAGAATAGCATTTTTAAATTACATGGACTTCGGTTTGAAAATTGAWACSAAAAAGATATCGCTTAATAGAAATTAATATATTTTTTCAAATATCTATGACTTATCTTACAATTTAAATTAATAAATATATACTTTTTTTCGCGTTTTGATTTYGTTTAATTTTTAGAAGCAAACAATAACAATAGTTCACYTGAAGACTTTCTTTRTTGGCTTGGAAACATTTTGWYGACATTTGTTTTTTATTGAAGATTGTTGGCGTCCGAAAATTTTTGGAATAAATCCCTTTMATTTATTAATTRTATTATTAAAACTAGTAGTAAATTGGGCAAMAGTTTTTYCYTAAATTKATAAACRTRAAATMATGCAAAATGTGAAGATTAAAGTATATATAARATACTAAACAAGTAGTCAATAACGRAAAATTAACCYAATTTTGGTTAAYGCTTGATGAAAGTGAGAAATTAGAAAGACTTGAYC